GAACACTTCCAGGGATGGGGCAGCCACAGCTTCTCTGGGCAACCTGTGCCAGTGTCTCTCCATCCTCATAGGGAAGAATTTTTCCTAATGTCTAATTTAAATCTCCTCCCCATCCTTGAGTTTGTGTTTATCCAGAAAAAGCAGGTAAATGGCTAGTAAGTAGAATTAAGCAGATTTTCTTAATCATTCATAGAATCCTATGGTAGCAGAGCCATAAAGCGTGTTTTTTTGAAGTCTGCATAATGGTTTCTGTGTCTGCCCCTTAGATTTCTTCTCCCAGTTTGTATTGTAAATGTGACTAGTATAGTTCGAAACCTCTGAAACTTGTTCTGTTGGTTTTTTGTTTTCTTTTTTTTTTTTTTTCCACTTGAAAATTGCAGCTTTTCACTTTTGACCCTCTTAAATGAACTATACTTTTATTGTGGGGAAAAAAACTGCAGCTGCCTGATGTGATAAGGCTCAAACTTCATTTGAGTAAGTTCTTTTAAACTGAGCACTGCATTTTATACTAGGATACAGATTGCTAACTGTATTTTGTACAGTTATTTAAAAGAATGGGTGTGTTTCATTATGGCATCTGGGCACAGACTTGGCAAGTTGGTGATAACAGTTCAGGAGTGAGTCAGGTCCCTCCAAGACATGCCAGAGCTGCCCTCCCAGGCTGAGGAAAACCATGTTAGGCAGTCTGGAGCTACATTCACCTGTGTGCCACTCACTCCCAGCTCATCTCCTTCGGTGCACTCCTCCAGTCTCTCCTTCCCAGCTGATCTCCACTACTAAGATTGTACTGATGTCTGCCATCCCTTTAGTAATCCTATTTGCAGGCTGAAGTGTCCTAGCCAACTTTGTTGTTCACCTAAATCTTCTCCATAATTTTCATTATCCCTAATGATTTCATGCCAGCCTTGGAGATTAGAGGGAGGGGCAGAAATTCCAGAAGTACAGAGAGATTGAGTGCCCTATAGGTTAGTACAGTTGCCTAAATAGTCTTGTGGTTCTGAAAGTCCGTTTGCTGCATTTACTACTGAGATTATTTTTCTGGTTTACTGAGTTGATGCTTTCAAAGAAATGCATGCCCATTGAGTCTTTCAGAGAAGGACAATAGACTGAGATGTGGCTTTTCCTAACAGCTGCATGGAATTATCTGTGTGCTCACTAATTCTTTTGAGTAATTTATGTAATTTTTTCTGGTACAAAAATTGAACCTAACTGATTTGTTGTTTCCTAATTCTCCCCTTGAACCCTTGTCAGAAATTCATATTGCTTTTCCTGTCTCAGAGCTACAAGACTGAGACTGTTTATGTGAGAATTCATGCATCACAATGACTAGGTCGTTCATTCTTGAGTTCTATACTAGCACTTCATTATTTTTCACATTGTGAGCTTGTTCTTTACCTTCATATAAACACACTTGAGGAGGATTCTGTTATTGGAAGTCTCCACAGTTTTTCCTCAATGTGTAAATCTAAATAGAGAAGTGGAGGGTTCTTTTTCCGTAGGCCTTTATCTCCTGGGCGTTAATTGCCCTGGAGGAGCGCTTTAATAGATCTGCTGTGCCTCTCCCATCTGAAATGGGCTGATTTTTGCACATTTCTTGGTTTGGTTATCAAAGTTGCCCAGAGAAGCTGTGGCTGCCCCATCTCTGAAGTTGGATGAGACTGATGAGTGGAAGGTGTCTCTTCCTGTGACAGGTGGGATGGAACTAGATGGTCTTTAAAGGTCCCTTCCAAATGAAACCATTCTGTTTCTAACTCTAGTTGGATAACTGTTTATAAATGTAATGTATAAATTTGCTGAAGATAGAGCTAAGAACATGTGTGCTGTCAGTAGGTATTGAGAAAGATGTTTGCATTCCGAAAAGTGGGGGGTTTTCTTGGCCCTTTTTAATTTGGATCAAACTATGCTGGGGATGCCTGTATTTTATGTAATTAAATTCTGTTCAATACCAAAAGATTGAGTTAAGAAATTTTAGGAAATGCCACAATATTTAATTTCGCAGAGAAACTTGATTTCCACCACCCTCCCCCCATCCAGAAAAGGTAGTGTTGCATTAAATGTTGTAAAATTGCAAGTAGGTATTTTGCACCATGTCCTCTCTTTGCCCTTGTAAAAATGCTGCTTCTTCGGACTTCTGCCATGCACTGACAGACCTAAATCACCAGTTTTCTAAGTGAATGTACTTTTCAAAACAAAATGTATTTTTGGGAAATGAAAAACTTCTAAAATCGGAAGAACTTCCGTCTTCCCCATTCCCCTCCACCCCCCCTTCCAACTTTGCTTCTTCCAGGGATTAAATATGGGATTTGTATTTTCCTATAAATGGCTGGTAAAACATGAAACAGGTGTATGCATTGTCCAAAAAGCCTATTTCTGCAGAAGTATGTTCTTAATTTTGCTGTTTCTTTTGGTTAATTTTTTCTTTTTCTAGCTTGCATTATCTGTCCTTAATGCTAAACTTTTCTCTCTGTTATGTGAAGTAAAGTAATGGGGTGCTAGCAACAATTTATGTTATCCTTTTGGGTTTTGACGTAACCTGGATGTGTGGTCCTAAAATACCTGACTGCACACAGCTGGTGCTTCAGAATCACTCATGTCCAACTCGTCTGTGTTTCTCAGCACTGTGTTGTAGCCCTCTTGTTGCTTTGAACTGCCCCGTCCCCTTTTTGTCCTGATCACTTCAAAGCTGATGGACTGGTCAGGTGTGGTCCCAGTATATCTTTGTGAGTCAGCGGTTCTGCCTTCGTGTAGCTATGTATGTCACAGGTGAAGGAGCTACTGTGCCTGTCTCTTCTGGGACTTTTTTTTTTGGATTGACAAGGTGGCTTTTTGAATCTAGGCTAATTTGATATTTGCTCACGTGTCTGTGAATTGCATTTACTAGTGTTTTGGGTTTTGAGAGTGCCGACCAGGAATACCCAAAATGACTCTGCTAAGGCACTGTCTGAATGTAAGGAAGATGTTTCTGGCACTGTAGTGGCCCCAGAAGTAGATGGGCTGAAGTTGCACATCATTCAGCAAAGCCAGCAGCCAGGATGAGTGACCCATGATTTGGTAAATCACCTGTGGATAACTGGAAGTTGAACACTGAACTATGAGTATAAAACAGAGAAGAAACTGATAGGAAACTTGATTTTTCTGTCTTTTTTCTCCTTTTCCCCTGTGGTGTTGAAGAGCACTTAAATATTTGAATTCTAGAAGTGTATTGCTTTTTCTTGTGTAAGAAGTAATGTAGAATATTTTGCAACAGCAATTAGCATTAGTGAGAAGTAGTAACAGTTGTTTTAAAAGTGGATGTCTAGCTGTGAACTTGTTATAATTACACTGTTTCAATGGAAATCGTTTCAGGCTGAGAAGGCAGATATTTAGGCTTGAACAAACCAATTTTTTTCAGTTTGTCTTTTGATAGCTATACGAAGTTTTAGTTAAAACTATTTTTAGCAGGAAAAGACAATCAAAAAAAGCATCTCATGTTTGCAGGAGAATTCTTTCTATCTTGGGAACTCAAATATGACTGAAGAATATCTACTTGCTAGCTTCAGAGTGATACATTATTATAAGCAACTTGGGCAGCATGACCTATATTTAAGATTGTTTAATCCCTTCCACGGTGTAATCCTGTTTACTGTTATATTTTACTTTGTTAAATGTAAACAATTCTGAATTATGTATGCTGAGGTTGAATGAGTCTTAGAAAGTTATTAATATTTGTGTGGATGTTAATCTACTTTGATATATTGCATTGCTGAGGGTGTGTAGTAGGACAGCAGAAGGTTCTTTTGGCTTTGTTTCTGCTTCAGTGACCATTTTATGGAAAAACTCCCAATTCTTCCTGTCTTTAGGAAGGAAATAAATTGTCTGTGGATCTTATTTTTGAGCAAACATGCTTCTAAATATGTGTTGTAAACCACAACAAAATGTAAGTTAAATCAGGAATATCCTTAAAACAGGTTTAACGTTTCGTTTCTGGTCTTCTTTTATGTATGGAAGCAGCAAATACAAGACAGTCCTTTGTCTGTTAATACCTAGGATTGAAGGAGGAAAGACTAGTGTTTTGTTCAAAGCTGTATCTTGTGAATAATGAGAAGTTTTCACACTAAGTAAATAGCCTTGGATGATGGAGTCCTGACTCAGTGTGAAGGGAGGAGTTGTTTCCAATTACCACCTATCAGTCATAGCTATGAAGTTAGTTCATACACAGTTTTCACTATGTAGCAAATTTCTGATGAGTATCTGTCCTGGATTGCTGGATTGCTTCTGCTAGGAGATGTATGTAACTAGTAAAAAGAATAGAGTTATTACTGCACCCTGGGAGAGAAAATTGTTGCAAAACTCTGCTACCTCTGTACTGTGGCTGTTCTGAATGTTAGGTGTTAATGAAGTTACAAAGCTGTGTTTAAAATTGAGAATTCAGCTGGATTTTTGCTTAAGCATTTATAATACTCTGAGTTAAAGTAGTGAATGAAGGAAGTCTGTACTTTTTCAATTTCTGTTGTTTTAAGTGGCAAAATTGCTACATGCTCATTCTCACTGGGCTGGATGTTTTTGTTTAATGGAAAACAAAAGGATTTGATTCAGCAGGCATATAATGATGAATATAGTAAGTATTTGGTTAAGCTTCTATTATGCTTCCATAAAGGTAGTCAAGTATATTAGTTGCCCTAGAAACAAAGAATGAGAGCTACTGTATTTACATATCGTATATATTTCCTTTGTAACTTTACCTGCAGGTGTCTTCTGTATATAGTGCTAATAAAACTAGATATATAGTGACCATTGCAAAGAAAACCTTCTTACCTTTTAAGCATGTTGGATCTTAGATTTTGTTGGATTTTTTTATTTTTTCTTAAATAGGGATGCCTTTTCTGGTGTAATATATATACTTAAAATCCCATGAAAATTAAAAGTGACATTTTCTTCTGGAAAAATAGTTTATTTTTATACTACTTACAGCTGCAGAATGTATTTCTGATAACTGAGTTTTGTTATTTTTTTTTCCAGTTGTACTCACTAAATGATTATAAGCCACCCATTTCTAAAGCTAAAATGACACAGATCACCAAGGCAGCAATCAAAGCTATAAAGGTAAGAAATTGTCCTAACTTCTGTATTCCTTTCTATTTCTCATCTGTGTTTAAATAACTGAACATCTTAAAGAACTTGCTTCAGAACTTTCCATCTCCCTTGTTGTATATATAGCTTCCAAGTTATGATCAGATGTGATAGTGATGGGATTTTCAGGAGTGCAGCATAAGGCTTAATCTGTTGTGTCACTTTCATTTGCTGCTTGTCCTATGTGAGAAAGAGTTATACCAGCTTGACTCTTCAGTCAGATCTGAAAGGCAGTTGTTTTGTTTTTTTTTTTTTCCTCAGTTTAAAAAGGAAGCACTGACATTGCCTGAGAACAGATGAATAAATATAGAACTACAATCTGCCCCTTCCTGTCCACCCCCAAAATCTAAGATATGTGTGCTTTTGGATCAAAACAGTTGTTTTAAGTTTTATTTCATCTAAAAAAAATGTTAACGCATTAAAAAAAGTGTACCTTTTCAGAGGTGTTGTTCATAGGTTTTATTTTTTATGCTGCCTGGATACAAATTGTTCTTAAGTTTTAGCATTAGTACACTAATTAAAGATTTTCTTGCCGCAAAGTAAAACTAATTGCCAAACAGCAGTGGAGCAGCAGAAACAGCACTGAAAAATGATGAAGTATGCCATTAGTGTTAAGCAATTAAAACAAAGTGAAAGTAGAGAGGTGAAAAAGAGGATAGAATAAAAGCAAAAAAGCCATGAAGTTACACTCTTGCTATATACGTTCCTTTGCTGAGAATGCAGATGCGTTTTTGGATGATTAAAATCGGAGTTTTGTGTAGTTTGGGAAGAGAGCAGCATGTCCTGGGTTCAGCTGTGACAGTTATTTTTCTCCTCCTTGGTAGCTGGTGCAGTGCTGTGTTTTCAGCTTTAGTCTGAGAACAGTGCTGATCACACTCCAATGTTTTAGTTGTTGCTAAGTAATGCTTAGCCCGATAAAAGACTTTTCAGTCTCATGCTCTGCCAGTGAGGAGGGGCACAAGAAGCCGGGAGGAACCAGAGACAGGACACCTGACCCAAACTGGCCAAAGGGGTATTCCATATCACAGCACGTCATGCCCAGTATATAAACTGGGGGGAGTTATCCGGAAGGCCCAGATCGCTGCTGGCTGGGTATTGGTCAGCAGGTGGTGAACAATTGCATTGTGCATCACTTGTGTTTATTGGTTTTTTTTTCTCCTTTCCCCTTTTAGTTTTATATTCTCTCCCATTGTTAATCATTATTATTATTAGTGGATATAGTAGTAGTTTTGTATTATACCTTAGTTATTGGACTGTTCTTATCTCAACCTTTCTTATCTCATTCTTTCGATTCTCCTCCCCATCCTCTGGGAGTGGGAGGGAGGGAAGAAAGGGGAGAGTGAGTGAGCAGCTGCATGGTTCTGAGTTACTGACTGGGCTTAAACCATAACACAGTATGATGACAAGAGTGAAATTCACTGGCTTTCTTAAGTAAGAGAAGCCTACATAAATTAAAGTTTGTGTGTTGCAGTATAATGAAAATGTGAAAAACTTGTACTGAACAGAAAGAAGTAGTAAATGATGTAAATGGTTCTATAAATTAAACTAAATGGTACCAAAATGTTTTATCATGTTTAACGTGGAAATTCTGCTTCCACTCTTATAATTTCAATAACAATATTTAATAGTGTAAGGTAGTTATTGGGTTGATACAGAGCCATTGTGATATGTAAAATTAAAAAAAATCTCAACAAAACAAAACATAAAAAATCCACCAAAAAAACCCAACCACTCACCTAAAAATCTCTGAAACCTGACCAACCACCACCACCACCAAAACCCCAACCAAAACCCCTAAAAAAACCCCTGACCAGGCCAACTTTAAAACAAAAAAAAAAAAAAGTATTCAGTGGGTGTTATAAGGTCTTCCTATCTTCCTGTACTCATGATTTTAGGTTACTAAAGTGAACACTTGGAAAATAAACACAGGGAAGCACATGCTGTGCTTAATAACATCAGGTTAACATCTTCAGTTGTGTACAATGAAATAACCGTGTTTTTGAAGGAACAATTATATTATTCTCTTCTCACTAAAGAAGTGCATGTTATTAAAAAAATGCAGCGTAAAAAAAACTTCACAAGGCAAGAAAAAGTGAGATTTGTTTTCTTTGTATGCTGTTTAATGTTCTAAGGAAGACAACATACACAGCTGTAGGTATTGGATGGCTGGTTAGTAAACCAGTGTTTCTGATTCTGGTTCTACTGTCAATATTGCATGACTTGAACAAATGTATGGATCTTCAGATTTTCTCCTCTGAAATACTGTTTTATTTTTCAGTTCTACAAGCACGTTGTACAGAGTGTTGAGAAATTCATTCAAAAGGTATGTCAGTCATGGGTATTTTGTGTTAGCACTGAGAAAAATTTCCTCATTTTGGATTACGGAGTATTGAAGAGTGTTAGGGTTTAGGTTCACATGTGGATTAATATTTTTATCACATGTTAGTTTAGTTTAGTTTTTAGTCACATTCAGTTTCTGCTTGTAATCAGTAGCTGTTCATAACCCATGATGCAGAAAGACAATACTTTGTCCTGAATTTGTATGTGTGATAAACTTTGATCCCAGTGACTGTGGTTAATGTCTTAAGACTACTTCTGCATGTATTTATTTAATGTTACAAGAGGCTGTCAGTATGGCCCATGTGAACAGAAAACTGCAACAGAATTGACAGTGTTTTGCTGAGTGGCAGTTGCTGTTCTGCTAGGTTTTCCCATGGTTTTTAAAGCTGAAGGGAAGATTACCATTCAGCATTATCTTTTGCGTAGCAGAAGATGTAGCATTTCAGTTTGTGGTTCCTGCTAGTAATTTAAAACAAAAAAAAATTTATGTGATTAGACTGGAACTACTTTTTGGGAAGATTCAGTATTAATTTAAGGATTCTGAATAACAAAGAATTTTATTGCATTTTGTTTCCTTGCAACAGTTAATTATTCTTGGGTAAAACTGCATTTTACTTCCAGTTGGAAATGCATGGATTCCAATTTGTGAGTTTCCTTACTTGTCTGCATTGTACCTGATGGCTCAGTTGGTCATTTTAGTACTGAATTTTCTTCTCCTTTTGTAAATAGGAGTAAATTATGATCAAATTTCCTTTTTGTTTTGACAAACAAGCTGGAGAAGTTAGTCTGTTAATGTTGCAATGTTGGATGCAATTTTTCTTCTGTTGTCCATTTTACCATGCGGTCTGGGTTGCTCTGTGTCAGTAACCTGTCTTCCTCATTACCTTTTATTTCTTGGTGCCCAGTGTATGCTGGAGTGGCTTTTGGCAGTGGTTGGACAGTGTCAGCAGGGTTCAGCTTCAGCCTGGTGTTTTTAACTGTCTCAGAACAGTTCATGAATTAATTAGTTAGGTACTAGAACATCGGTCCTATGTGGAAAAGGTATCATGTATATTTCATGGCAGTAGTGAAGACTAGTATTTTACTTTACCATCACTGCTAGTGTTTTGTCAAGTAGTTGTCTTTTAGGGCATCACCTGCAAGTTCTTCTTCTTCTAAAAAATGGTATCGATATCCTCTGATCCTAGTTTAATACGACAGGTGAACACAAGAGGATGAGAGGAGGTGTACATCTTATCCATTTCAGATCAGTAGCACTTTGCAGTGCCGTGTGCCAAAATTAATCTGGAATTGCCTAAGTTCCAAATACCGCTTTTTGTTGTGGTGGTTGTGATTGATTGTTCTGTATTCAGAGGCATGGGAGAAGATTTATCCTCTGAATAAAAGAGTGGCCATTTGTCAGGAAATGGACTGGTTGTTCATGACCTTTCCACAAGCTAGTAAGAGTACATTTGTGTTCACTGCCTAGTACTGCTTGATGAGGGAGTTCTGAAGTGTTCATTGCTGGTTGGAGAAGGAAGGTGGATGTTGTTATTGATAACCTTGTTAATGATCACTCTGAATTAGATGTTTCCCTTTAGTGGACTTGATGTAGGTTGTTTGTTGTGTTTTTCTTTTTTTTGTTTGTTTGTTTGTTTTTTTTTGGGGTTTTTTTTTTGTTTGTTTGTTTGATTTTTTTTTTTGTTCCCCCCAGTATTTCATGAACAATTTAGTGAAACACAAATTACTAACAACAGTAGAATTTAGTAATTCTAAATTAGTAATTCTAATTTAGTAGAATTGGAGATCAGCAGATCAAAGCTAGCAATTTGGTATTCATGGACTTAAGTTATGTGTTTGGAAGATAATTGGATTTTTTTTTTCTGGAAGCAGTCACTTAAAGCTCACGATACTGAATCTTCTGTTGAAATCTGCCATGGACTTGTCCAGAGTGCTGTCAGTACCATCTCAATTAGTTTACTGTTGATTCTTTACTACTCCAGTATTTTATTTCTTCAGAATTAATCTCATGATGTTACTGAAACTCCAGGTGAAATAATTGCCCGTGTCATTCTTTGTTTTGTGACACTTAACTCACTGGTCTGTTTTATTCTCAGTCAAAACGTCATTTCGCAGGTCAAATGACCACATTTCATATATGTAAGGATATTCCATTGTGAGAGCAAGACTTGAATAAAGCCTTTGAGTAATTGAATTATCTTACTGCTTAGACCTACTCAGAAAATAAGTGAATATTTGTTGTGGAAAATATCCACTGAGATTCTACATTTGTTGTGAAAAGTATCCATCTGAGGTTAGGGATATGCAGGCTCACTGCCCCAGCTGTAACTCATCTTCTTCATTTATGTTTTAACTTTTATTGTCCTTTTTTATAATCTGTATTATTAATTATTATATTTTTCTTTCTGTATATGTCATGTTTTTAAATATTCCATGTAACATGTTTGCCAAGTTTCCTTTTTAAATACCTGTGTGTTTTATTAATTTGAATATTGTGAAAAGTTGTATACAGGTCAGTATCAGGAATGCTCTTGGTAATAATTTAACTTTTCAGTAGCTACAGTACATTGTGGTTATTATCTGAAGACTATTATATCCTATTAGATTTTAATTTTGTAATTTCATAATGCACACACATTCTTAAAAGGATGCTACACGCATCCTTAAAAATAAGGAGTGCCATATTTACGTACACTGAACTATGTTTTTATCCTAAATAAATGCTCTATCAAGGTTGCAAATATTAGCAAATGAGCACTTTTCAGAAGATGAAGTTTGTATGTAGGCTATAATAAAATTAATAGTCTGAAGAGTTTGTCACTGTCTTAGAGATTATGAACTTAATGTGTTGCATAATATGTTTATAGACTAAGTGGGCCAGAGAGGGAATGGGTGTCCTTTCCCATGCTTCCCTAATACCTTGTGTGATAAGTATATATAGCCAATATTCATGAAGTAAATCCGTGTCATAGTATAACTATATAGTTACAGTCACCATTCTGGTGATGACTTTGTTATGCTTTTGTACTGCTTTTCATTCTGTCTTAAAACTGTTTGCAGTAGTTCTGGTGCAATTACTTTGCAATTAAAACACAAAAGTTTTAGCTTTACTTGTTAAGTAAAATTAACTGATTAATTAGTATAATTAGCAGACATGCTTTATAAATACCATGCTGTTCATAAATTATACAAGTTTTCTAGACCAGTGTCACTGAATATTCTCAAACAGATGTCCACATAAATATGTTGTTGTTCTGGCAAGGGGAGGATATGCCAAACACTAACTAAATGTAAAATAAAGTAAATGAATGTTAACTTTAATGTTGACTTGGATTATAAAGGACTAAAATATTTTGAATTGTATTTACAGCTAGTACCAATGTACTGCTAAGAATTTGGCCATGCTTTATTCTGTTCTCTTAAAATAGATGTGTGCATTTAAAAAGGCTGTGTGGTTCATGTGCTGATTTTTAATAGCTAGATTCTAAAAAGTTAATTTTTTAGTGGTAGGAAATTGATTTTAAACCATTTACATATTTGCAGAATATAGATGTGATAATTTGAACATTAAAGGCTGGCTGGTTTTGAGTGAGTTTCATTTTTTAGGAGAATTTGTTAAATAGAGATTTGTTAATGTTTGTTAAATAGAGATTTTATTAGTACTTTAACCCATTTAAAAATTAAAGAGGACTGATCATATTTATTCTGCCATCAGTGGTTTTTGTTATTTTTCACATGTGTATTTTAAATTATCATTCTTTGTAGTGCAAACCAGAATACAAGGTACCTGGTCTGTATGTCATTGACTCCATTGTGAGACAGTCCCGGCATCAGTTTGGACAAGAAAAGGATGTATTTGCTCCAAGGTTCAGTAATAACATCATCAGCACTTTCCAGAACTTATACCGTTGTCCTGGGGATGACAAGGTAAACCACTTACAGATTTTTCTAATTAAAGCAGTCTCTAGTATGTTATCTGTGAGGAAGAAAGATTTTGATCTTGCTTTCTGCTTGCTAGATTGGACCTAATTATAGACTTGCATGTTTATATGTATTTCTTTGATTTTGCTTGTCTGAGTGTAGGGACGGGGGAAGACACTTCCAATTATATTAATTAGACTTTTGGAAAGGTTTTCAAGAAGACCAGGTGGATTTGAGTTAATGTATTTTGATGAGGAAAAAAATTAAGTCAGCATTGTAGGACAGGGAGTTATAGTCAGTCTTTTACTGAGTTCTTCCCCTCTGCAGTGAAAAAACGGGCGAGCAGGTTTTGTATAGTGTCAAGGAATAGATGTCTGTCTTAGCAGCAGTTATCATCAGCGCCAGACAGAGTGTTTTGGACTCAAGGAGCAATAGAAAAGCAACAAAGTATCTTAAAAGTTACCTTTCCTTTGACAATCAGCAGACAACTGAATAAGGCTGAACTTGAATAGTTAGACCTTACAGTTTCAGCTGTTCCCTTGGACCACAGTAGTCAAGACTGCTACCAAATTACTTTTTAAATAGGTTGACTGGAAATAAGCAGAGCATTCAGGCAGTTTTAACTTCCTTCGCATTTGTCACTGGTCTTAAAATAGCTAAAGTATCTTCTTACTGAATTGAAAAATTACAAAAAGATGGGAAATGCTACAAGCTTTATCCTCCACATAAATTTGTGTAATAGAGTCATTAAATGAAGTAGTGAGGGAGGGGGGACACTGCAGGAAGAGGAAGACAAGTTATTCTTTGAATACTCACATATATTCATTCATACAGCTGTAGTTTTCAACCAAAGATCTGTAAACTCCAGGCATGCATGGAAAATCATTAAGTAAGGCAAGTTCAGCCAGTGCATGTCTCCTGCAGTTGTCTTTAAGATTCTTGCCTTTTTAGAGGAGTTAGGACCCCTGTATGTCAGGATCTGCAAATTTTTAGTGGTTGGAAAAACTGCTATGAATGTGTTCTCTTCTGCAAATGAGTTCTGAGATACTGCTGAGCAGATTAAGTTAAGTGACGTTTTTCCAGTCTGGTTTTAGGTTATCTGCATGATCAATGCATGCTGCTTCTGCTCCATAGGGGTTTGTATATAAATAGACAAGATAGTTAACATATTTTTCTTCATTTAGTTGTATTCCTTAAGCAGAATTAGTTTGTTTTGTATAATCATTTAGTTTACTACTCTGGGAAATACACTGATGCAGAAATAACCTGACTTATTGAAGAAGGAGATCTGGCACAAGGATGGGTGCAAGTACACAGTATGTGTCTGGCTTAAAAAAAATTAGAATAGTAGATTTATTGTAGGGTAAGAAATACCACGACTTATGCTGTGATATTTCAATGCATGGCAACTAATATATTACATTAGACATGTTTAATGTGAAGGGGGGAGTAAAGTCAAGTCTGTGGTTTGTAAAGCTCCTGTCAGGTTCATTTGTAGGATATTTTTCACCTCGGTTAGGGAAAATGCATTTTACAATCTGAAGTCTTGCTGCTGTGTTGCATATGGATTCAGTATTATAGGAAAGTCTTTGCTGTTCGAGTAGTTACCATATATCTAACACAGCAGAAAATTGTGCTGTCAGAGATACCAAGATATGGTCCCATTTTCTAACATTTTGATGTTTAATCTGATTAGAAAGTGTGACAGAGAAACACAACAGTTGTCTTTATGAAAGCAAATGTGATTTTGTTTTGTTTTTAAATCAAGCAGAAGTACAGTAACATCTTATTTAAAATAACCAAACAAACTCCACTGATTCCTTTGTCTGGTTCAGTGAGGAGAAGTGCAATGGGGCGATAGATACTGAGACACAGAAATAGTTTTATATTCCTGTTCTGGATAGAAGAAAGAACCCTAAGTTACTTCTTCCATGCAGTGAAAATTAATAATTTCTCTCTATTAAAGTTAAGTATCCTCTTGGAGTTTAGGGCAAACAGAGGGTTTTTTTAATTTGTTTTAAACACTGTGGTTAAGTACCCTATCTTCATATTTCATAAAATTTAAATAATTAAACCATCTTTATGACAGCAAACACAAGATCTTATAAAGAACTTTCTGCTCTTTGTAATACAACAAACTTTTTGTTCCCCCATCTGAGCAAGGGTCTTTTACTACCACACGTATTTCTATGCAACTTCTCAAAATAAAGCAAAATCTTGCCTTTTAGTAGAAGTGAAGCTGAGAAAAGAAAACATTTGGGAGCAGATCAAAATAGTGGAATAGAAATGCAAGCTGAACAATGAGTTACATGTAATGGAGTGGTATGAAGTCTTAATTTTGATTTTTCCTTACCCATGATCCACATTTTTTAATACTGCTATGTAATTTCAATATGTAGGAATTGTGTTCCAGTTTAAATTTTTAAATTCCTCACTTTATCAGGAAAGCTTGCAAGATACTGATGACTACTGTAATAAAAGTATGTAGCAGTCTTATTAGTATATGCCTATTTTTTAGTGGACATAAATAATTTTGGTTCATAGATTAGAATTGCATTCCTATATGTTGACCATAAAAGTTGAGGAGGCTAATAATTCCTTGGTTTAATTATTAATAATGCTTTAAAATACTTAAAGTAATTGTCCTTCCATACCATCTTCCAAAAGTAAAGGCAAAAAAGAGCTAGATGCGTTTGTTTTAATATATTTCATTTTCTGTTGAGAAAAGACTGTCACTATGTACTAGGGTCAGCTTTAGGTTCATAGCTTAGACATCTTTGGTGTGATCCAGTGTAACTGTTCTTAAGGCTTTTGCAGTTTGTAAATCTAAAGGTGTTTCAGTCTAGACAGATTGACATTGCTAGTTAGGAATTTCATATTTGATAATAATAAGAAATATAAGCATGACTCAGATCTTCTGTTACCCTTTCTTCCTTTTAGAGTAAAATTGTTAGAGTGCTAAATTTATGGCAGAAGAATAATGTGTTCAAGAGTGAAATTATTCAGCCTCTTTTGGATATGGCAGCGGAGAAGTCTCTCAGCAGGAATTCCTCCTCCAGTTGTGACCCCTGTCTTGCCCAGCACTACAGCTGCTATGAGCAACAATACACCAGGTAAACAAGGACGGGTTAAAATCATGCTTAGAATCAAAACACTTGTGTCGGCTTTGGAGCGTTGTCTGTTAACATGCTGAAAAATCTCACTCATTTTCTTTAGACAAATCAAATAAATGCTAGAAAGAAATAGGGCAGGATCTTAATCATGGAAATGGCAAAACCAAGAGGCAGCCTGTTGTGCTTGCTTTCCAACAGTATATTATAAGTATATTCAGGTTGAGTAACAGTGCAGTAAGACCTAGTTTTGCTCTCTAAAGTCAAAACAGTAGATCACTGACAAGTTAAAACCCCAACAATCTTTGTTAGTTAGTGGGGCTGAGAGACATGAAACATCAGTACGTAGTAGCTTTTTGCTATCTGTAGGGTTGAGCTTGCTGGATGATGTCAAGAGAGTGCTGCTTTAACTTTTGCTCGCCAACGGACAGTGATTTCAAGGGAGAAAAATCCCACAGTAGAGACTGCAGCCAGTGACATACTTCCTTCTCCTTCAGATCTGAGATCTCTGCTGGAGAATCATAGGCAAAAATTTGCTCTGAATTATGTCTCAATTTACCAAGCATTAACATTATTATACATGCAGACTGGGTGATTTTGTGCTCTAAGCGTCATCCTTACTAATGTAGATAGATGGCAGGGAACTGGCTTTTCAACTTTTTTTGCTTTGTGGAGGTTTTTTTCATTCCGGATTGGCATATAGAGAAGGTTTTACATACAAAAATGGGGTTTTGGCACATTCAGACCTGCTTTTGTCACCCACCTTTTGCTGATGCTCTGCTGAAAAGCAGTGAGGTAGACAAATCCACCTTACTTTTCATTGGTGTCTGTAAATATGTAAAAATTCCAGTTCATGGATTGGATTTACTGCATCATCTAGCTCAACATTTTTTATTGTCATTAGTTTGATTAGTTTGAATTGCTGAAATCATAAGTCTACTCTAATGCTTTTCAAAATTCCGATGCAAATTATCTTTCAAAACACCTAATCTAGTCATTTACATTTAGTATCCATTGGCATATCTCTACTTCTGAGCTAAAAGCAGGACTATTTATAAGGATGGAGGATTCTTCTGAATTATGGCATGAAACTAGTTATCAGATTGCTGATTTAGTTTCAGTGTTCCTCTTGAGGAAGAAAAACGGCTAAAATAAGCAATCCTTATGAATCCAGCTGCTGCAGGTTGAAATTTCTAATAGCGTCCTTTAGGCTTCTCCTGGGGATAAAGTGCAAGTCCAGCAAGTTCTGGACTGACAGATGTTTATGATTAGATTACTAACAATTATCATTTGGTATATATTGTTTCCACTAAATGGTTTGGATTACTGTGTGAAATCTATTCATTTTGCATTTGTCAGTGTTTTCGTTAGTAGTCCCCATAGGTCAATAGTGGAAAGAGCTGTGAACTACACTTTTAAACAAAGTAAGCCTGCTACTTGAGAAATGCTGATGTGAGTCTGTGTTATTTTTGTGTGCTCTACGTGTGTGTCAGAAGAATGGTTTCAGTTGATGTTAATACAGTGTTTTCTCACTATTTAGTAATAGCAGGTAGGGTTTTTTTTTTTCTTTCTTTCTTCTAACACAATTTCTAGTTCCGTATGTTCAAATATTTTGCATTGGATTTTCTCTTTTTTAGGAACACCTGTGACTCCAGTTACTCCAGCCAATGTAGTGCAGAGTTTACCTGACCCTTGGGTATCTCAGATTGCTAATACAGATACCCTTGCTGCTGTTGCACAGATTTTACAGAGTCCTCAAGGCCAACAGGTAAATATTTTGTAGTCAGTTACACTGTACACTGTGTGATACTTTGTGTCTTTAAAGTACACTTAAGGAATATGGCTTTAGTGAGTATCTCTTAGTTTGTGGAATGCACTTTGTGAAATGTGGAGGAAAGGCAGTGAAATAGCTTTTGAAGAAGAAAGGGATGTTAAATGAGACTGGAAAAGATGTGGAAAGTCAGTAATGTAATTTTACAGAAAAAAAGGATGAAGCAAAAGAAAACCATTACGCAGATGAGAAGCGAATGAAGATTTTTAAAGACTGCACATCACAAAGAAATGACATTGGATATTTTGTTCAAAATGGTAAAATGTTGAAGAAAATGGATTTGGGGAGAGGGAAAATAGGGTCATAAGTAGAAGTGCAGAGACAAGCTGCATGTACAGTAAATATGTACATGCAGATCTCTAGGATTGGTAGGTGAACTGCAGCATTTGCTTTGATTCTTTGTCTCTTTTTTTTTCCCTGTTCTCTGTGCCACTCCACCTGCCCCCTTCCTAAGCACCAAAGTCTTTGATTTCATCTGAAGATTGTGTTTTATGTATGAGAGTGCATGTAAATAAATTGGAAGTCTAGGAGAGGGCAGAGTAAAAAAGTTGTGACCAGCAAGAACGTGAAAACAGCTAGAATAGTGACCACCCAGGATTTTCCCACTCCAGGGCTTCTATCTCTACTTCTTCAGTTTGATTCCTTCCTACTCAGAGCAGTGCACAAGGTGGACCAGCTATATTTGCTTATCTTCTGCGGATCAGCCAAGAGCAGAGAGGAGAGCTCTTCAGCTTTACCTGTTGCAGTAAAGGTAGAAGAATAATGGAAGCATTTTCAGAGGCTCAGCTGTAGGAGTCTGCATGATTGTTTTTAAAACATAGGAAGAGTTGTGTCACATTATAGAAGGTCACTCTAAAACAATCCTGAAAAAGGATCATACATCTTTGATGCATTGTGAAAAAAATGATCAATGTAATCAGCTTATGCAGAGTTTCTAGTGAGCCCTAGTAAGAAGGGAGAGGTAAGATCAGTGGTGAACCCCACGAGGAGGTAGAATATGAACGTAAAGGTATAATCCAATATCCAGAGACTGGATTTGCTCAACCTCTTTTTCAGGACTACCCCATAGGTAAGGCTCCAGGGGTTTACCTCTTGGAAGGTCAAAAGACTTCTTCCGCTAATTTCATGATACATTAGGAAAGCTTTTTTCCATAGGAATAGTATTTTTTCCTTTTGTCTTAAGTAAACCTATTCAAAACAAACCAACCACCCCAGTCACCACACCACCCCGCAAAACTATTTTTAAATAATATTTGAAACACCCAACACTATTTTTAAGAAGTATGCTTTAACATCTGTCTTTTGACATTACCCATACTTTGTTTTTACTGTAACATACTTTGTTGTTACCATACATCTGTTGCCCCAGAGTGACTGCTTCTGGTTCAGCATTGCATCTAGGCAAATTTTATCCTAAGATATTCCTATACAGAGCCCAGAGCCTGTGCCATTGAAGGATGTCAAATTATATTCCCAGTTCCTGGTCAATTTGCTTTTTGTCTTTTGTTAACAGAGCAAAAGAATTGCATTCAATCAGCAGAAACCTGAGTTTCAGCGTGAGATTTTCATTGTGACTAATCTAGAGACGCTAGTGCAAACTCTTCATACAGACCTGTTGCATCAGCTTAAAGTGGAGCTTGCAACAGTGCAGTTACTTTCACTACACAAATGTTACAGCATACAGATTTTCCTAATATACGTGGGCCCTTAGGAAGCTGAAGTAGGCTAACAGATTTTTTTCAGGTCAGAAGGAATCAAACTGGAGAAACAGAAGAGGGGGAACCCTAGAAAGCAGGAAATCCTGAGTGGTGACTGGTCATCATGCAACCTGTCAGAGCAAGTTAGGAGGAAGAAGCATCTGCATGTCTTATCAGCTACAGAAAACAAATTAGCCAGTAAGTGGGAACAAAATTTGCCATATATGAAAACAATTAAAGATGAAATATTAGCCATAGGTTAGATAATACTGCATTCCCAAGGTCTTTTTTTTTTTTTCTTCCCCCCCCCCCCCCCCCTTGGAAGGGGAAAATTCTAGGTTTGGTTTTTGCTTTAAAAAAAAACAACCTTTTTTGTTTAATGCATTTGTTATCTTTTCTCTTTTAGCTTCAGCAGTTGATTCAGACACTGCAGATACAGCAGCAGAAACCTCAGCCTTCACTACTTCAAGCTCTGGATGCTGGTCTTGTTGTTCAGTTGCAGGCCCTCACAGCACAACTTACAGCTGCAGCTGCTGCTGCTAACACACTTAATCCCCTGGAACAGAGTGTCTCTTTTAATAAGGTAGACATAAAATAATAGAATTTTGAAGAAATATATTGTTAAAATATATGTAAGTGAAAGAGTCTTCTTTCGAATTTTACTGTTTGACTTCAGAGATTTTTAAAATACGTTAATTTATTATGAAGTGCTCTATCTTGAAAATGAAAAAAAGTCTAGAGAGTGGTATAAATGAAAATACTAGTTTTATATGAGTTTAGGGCTAAAAGTCATTTCATAGAATACCTCAAGTTGGAAGGGGATGCATAAGGGTCATCAAGTATGAAGATGGATGTGATTTAGCAAAGTTAAGCCATTGTTACATCTTTTTTTTCATCCTTTGTAGAACAGGAATGAGAATTGAGCACGTCTTGTACTTCCCTTTCTTGTTTTTATGATCTGTGCTGTTTTCCCAAAAGAGTAAAATGTGATTAGACTTGTAATTTTCATACATTGTAAGTGCCAAGAAAACTTCTGATCTTAGCCACGAAGTGATAGTAAGTGAAGAAATAAGTTTATGACTGTAGTTAAAACTAGTCATGTGACACTTTTTAGAGGAAGTGAAAACGTAAAGCCCAAACCAGACCAACTCGTTAGGTAAAGAAACTTTGTATGTGTTGCAACATAGGTGCCTATCTAAAAAAAAACAACAAACAAAAAAATCCCAGAATGCAGGAATTTAAGAAGTTTAATATAATTGAATGACAGGTAGCAATAACCATGCTGGAAATTACAGTAGCAATAGTCAGAGGAGCAAACCCCCCTTTTTTATCCCAACCCAGATAATCTCTTTTTCAGGCAATTAGCTGCTCAGAACTTCATAAGTGCTGAGTTGAAAATTTTAGGACAATTTATCTTTTATTTCTTGAATTTGTCCAGCTAAACTCAAATCTGTAAAATAATAGAGTTGTTATGACTAATGAAAGTAACGCAGCTGTAAAAATAAAAGGGAAAAAATGGCCTGTACTAAAGCTGTATCACAGCTGTAACCATCAAATCCAGTAGAGTAAAATCACAGGGAATGAATGCATTACTTAATAGGTACTGTCTCAATATTTAGATTAAAAAGTTAATAATACTGCATCGTATTAGGGTTTACTCTGCTGACTTCAATTCCAGCATTTACATGTGTATTCATAGGTATGGGTGTCATGAATGTTGGACAACTTAACTGGAGAAAACAGAAGGAATTGGCATACTGCTGAGTTGTTTATATACCTTGTGTGAGTTCAGCTTGATGCTCTTAAGTTAGCTGATGCTAGTAAATAGTATACAGGAGTCTTGTCATTATGTGCTTCTGATTTCTGGGACTTAGAAGGTAAGTGTTCTGGAAGGAATTCTTCTGGCAGTGTGGTAATTTACATACAAACTTCCAGTAGGCATGCAGTATTGATTTCTTCTTATAAGTTGTGAAAGAGTTGTGTTCATAGTATGTGATCTGTACCTCAGTTCTGCATTATACAAGTAGCATCAAATTATAACGCATCTCAAATTTTTTGCTCAGTGTTCTGTAGCATCTTTATGAATGAACTGATCTGTGTCTTGTTAGTCCATTGAGGCTTTTACTCAAAGATTATTTAGGCTGCTTTGCAAAAATAGCACGTTGTTCTAGAATTTCCTCTTGGGGTTTTTTTTTTTCCTTTTTTTAATAGAATGTTGGTGATACCATACCTATATTCTTCTTTTTCTGAGGCTTTAGGAAATCTCAGTCTAAGTCTAGGCATTATAAAAGAGTATATATTAATATATATGTATTAATGGGCAATCAATTTTGCAGTAAGTTTTGGGGATAATAATTTTCCTTGCTTTTTAAAATGTTTTTTATCAGCACCAATATCATCTGGCATCTGAATCCTACTTCTCAATATCTGAAGACCATAGGTCATACCGATGTAATTGTTTACTGGACTATATCCATTTTATTGTATACTTGTATATGTATATTTTACTAGACAAGACAGCCTTAATAAAAAAAGTGTCAAAAAGGCAATATTTACTTTTATAGGAAGCACCTATAAGTGCAAGTGTTTTAGGTTGAATCAGGAGCATGCTTTTGAGGTGAAACTTTTGATTATTTACATGTACCCCACATCATTTCACATTGCAGAGCAATCTTGAATATATAAAGTAGATGTATTTAGATTAAGCTAAAGCAAAAGATTGGCTGCATTGGTAATGAGCACTCACTTGACAGGGCCAGACTGGAGCTGCTTCAAAGTAACTAGTAACAAAATCCAAATAGCACACCCAAATAAAATAAAAACAGTAAACCAGATATTTTTTAAGAGTTTTGGGAATGCTTTGCATCCTGCGGACAGATCTAGATCTTTCTTAGTGATCTTCCAGGATGCTGTGAAGTTCTAGAGGTTTTGTATGCATTTTGGAGAGCTTGCGATAGTTTTATATTTAACACAAAATGCATCAATGGCGGTTGATGATACTGTTAGAAATAACAGTTATCAAAACCCAAGATGTCAGAACAGTACAGTGAACAGCAGCACTAGACTGTTTGAGTACCATACATCCAGTTGCTTAATCTTTGGGATTCTAGTCTTTATAAAAAAATAAATTGTTAACAAGTGTACTTAAAACAACAGTGCTAGATCCAGCAAGGTACCCTGGCAGCAAAGTGGGCTGACACCATCCGGGCCTGTGTGAACAGGAGTATAGTCAGGTGATTGGTGGAAATGATCATCCCATCTAGACATCCTATCTACTCCAGACTGCATCTAGAGTACCACATCTGGTTTTGCTGGTTCTGCCCCCGTACAGGAAAGACATTGATAAACTGGATGTTTCTTCTCTGTTTTCTCAGAGATATATTCAGTCCTGCTTTTATATATATATCAGATTATTTCACTGGGAAAGTAGTTATAAAAATTCTTGATTGTTCAGTCTCTTAGTTAGCTAATGCTTTGTTCTTCTTGCTGGACTCCAGTAATTGATATTAAATAGAGCATCCCGAGAAAGAAAATTGGCTACCAAATCATCATGGCTTGTTACTGGAGATGTTTTTGTCTTGGTATTTTGAGATGATTGCCCCATGTTCTCATTCTTCTGTTTTTAACTTCTAAGCTCAGGGTTTGAGAAGAAGTTATGGCAGTTTGTAGCACAGCATTAACTCTGTTTTTTAGAAAACTTCCAAGGTGTAAAGGTGCATGCATATGGGTTTGATAGCACTGCGCTACCAATATATAGTTACTGAAAAATGCCTATCTCAGTGACAAATAATGTTTTTGTATTTCTTCATGCTTCTTCAGTCTTATCATCAAGAAAGTAAAATGCTCCTGAAATGCTTCCAGGCTATTTAAAAATTAACAAACCAAACTTTTTTAGTTCAGCAGAAACTACAGTGTAGAAATCTTTACAGATAAAATAGGAGATTTATTAAAGGTTTTCTTTTTCCCTGCCAGATACCTTTTTTTTTTTTATCCCTCTGGAGGCTTATTCCTCTTTCATGATAACTACCTGCTTTGATTTTTTTTTTTTTACAGACTATATGAAAAGTTGTTCTCAAAGAGCAGTATATTTAAAGGAGTTCAGGTTGTCTAAATGACACGTGTGTGTGAAAATACAGTAATTCTTTGTGAAGTAATCAAGCTGTAGGTCTTCTCTTGATACGAGCAGAACAGTTTGCTGATTGCCAAAGGATTGAATAGTTGGCCTCTTCATAGTAATTTCTTCAAATTAAAGGTACCATTACATAAAATTAATCTTTATTTAAGCTTTTCTCCAAACTAGCTGTTATTTACTATGGAAAGAACATGTGGTTGTACTTGTAACAGCAGCCAGAGCTCAAGAAAGCCATGCACAAAATTTGGTATTTGATGCATTCAAGAGTTTGATAGCAGTAGCAGTATGACATTTAATTTTATTCAGGTTATTTGCCATCCTTTTTTATTTTTTTCAACTTGAGAAATAAGAGCATTTTTCTTTGGAAAAGTAAATATGCGTAAAGAGATATATAAGGAGTACTCAGTAATGCTTACTTTGCTTTCTCCTAGAAGCTGATGGACAGGTTTGACTTCGGGGAAGAATCTGAACAAAATGAAGAGCCTAAAAAAGAAACTCCTACTTCCCAACTGTAAGATCAAGCTATGTTTCTTACAGAAAATGCTAAAATCTGCCTGACACTAGTTGAACATTAGGATTAAATAGTAAGGAAAATGTTTCTTTTAGAGCATAAGTATACTAAACCAATAGGAAGAGAAGAGACACTTTCCTAAATTTATGAAACATACACATTTTAAAAATATTTAATGTAAGTCTCTGTGCCAGAAGTTTTGTTGACTTCATCTTAGAAGTTAGCATGTTCTTTGTTAATTATATTCATAGCATTAATGGTGATGGTGATGGCAACAGAAGGTAGAACTGGTTACATTGTCTTCATTATTTTACATTTTTAGTTAAACTTGAAACTCAGTTGTGAAGACCTGTTCACCAACTATTTAAACCAAGAGAAAAACGTTTGTGTTTTTTTCTTTAAATTATTTCATTTTAGGCCTTTAGTACCAGAATCTGTGAACAACTCCCTTTTTCACCAACTAGCTGAACAGCTACAGCAACAAAATTTAGAACACCTCAGACAACAGCTTCTGGAGCAACAGCAGCCTCAAAAGGTAAGAACTCCATCTTGTGGCTGTCGGAATTATTATGTTTTCCACTGATAAAATTCATACTCCAGGACGAAAAAAAAGTCTTGTTACTGACACTTCTCTTATAATGAAAGTCTTTGTCACTAGCTGATCATCCAACAGAAGCTGGCAGAGTAAGTGGAATAAGCAGAAGAAAGTGCTTAAAGCAAGGGAAAAAAAATACAACCAAATGTGTGGGGTGTACAGT